TTTTGAAACCCATCATGCGAGTATTCGGTTTGCTAATGGAGGGTGGGCTGCGACGTCCGCACTTGCTTAAGCCGTGCAGGCTTGCTTCGATTCGTGTGACTTGCTTCGATTCATGTGAGTGTTTTTGAATCTTATCATGCGAGCCTTCTGTTTGCAAATGGGGTGCTTTAAGCCGTGTAAGCTTGCTTCAATTTATATGAGTTTCTTTACTTGAAACCCATCATGCAATCATTGTGTTTGCTGCACCCCCCCCCCCCCCCCGCAAACCCCCGCCCGTCTCCCGCTCATGATACTATCGGAAAATAGAGGTTATCCTATGAACATATAGAGAAAATACTTGTTTTCCTATGAAGATATTCAGAAAATAGAGATGTACCATTAGAAAGTAGGGCCGGGTTTGGTTGCCTCATCAAATATCGAAAAATAGAGCTTTTCCTAAGACAACATACAGAAGATAGAAGTTTTTGACATTATAATATAGAGAAAATACTGGCTTTCCCTATGAACATACAGCAAAACTGGAGTTTTTCCTATGGAAATACAGAGAACCACCCTGCCAAAAATAAACAAATAGAGGGCCAAAAAGGCCAAACGCAAATCTCCACCCCATATCGAAACACGGCCCCAGTCGTGTGGGCCGACCGAAACCCCAGTGGGCAGAATCCTGGTCGAAGCACCTATACCCCTCTGGTCAACTCCGATATCAATCTTTCCTTTCACGGTGTACCGTCTGCCACAGAAATCACACAAGCCCATCTCTAGTGTATGGACGGACCGACAATACTCCATTGTACCCGCAGGCGAATCCGTGCCCCCCGGGGTAGATTGCCAACGTGCCCTTTTGGGTGGGTGCAAACTGGACCTTTAGTTGGATCATGTGCTTGCAAAAAACGTTGCAGGCACTCTGGAAGGCATCACATGATCATAACGCGCCTCTTCAATCACAGGACCATTTTTGTCGTAGCCAGGCTTGGATCGGATTACAGTCCTGATGCAGATTTATGTCGTGCCTTCAGCAATCATGCTCTGGCAGGAATTTTAAGATGTGGCTGGAAAGGGCGAAGAGGAAAATTGAAAAAGCCGCTCGTGATGCTGGCATCCTAGTCTTCTGGCCGACATGCGGTAGCTGTGAACGATGCGCCTGACGACAAGATGTCACGGGAAGCTGAGGCTGCGCCATCAGGTCGTGGGTTTGAGTTCAATCGCACGCATTCAAGCTTAGCCAGTAAGATCTGAAGTTGGACGGCATCCGTTCTCATGTCATTGCACTTCATGTTTCGGAAGCACGACAGATTCATGTAGCAGTTCCCGGACAGGAGGCGGCAGTGGAAGCTTCAATGTGGCCGTGTGCGCTGGCAATAATCAAAGAAAGACTTGTGAAGGCGGCTCATGAGCAGGTACTGCCGTGCTGGCAAGCATCGCTCGGTGGCGGCTTCAGTGATCTTGCACTATATCCTCAAAGCTGAGGGCTGGACCTGCCCTGACGTGCAGCCACACCGGCTGGCTTGGATGAAAGGAGACCCAGCAAGAGAATCAGAGAGAGGAAGACGGAGGGGAGGCAACTCTCTACCCCAGCCCTGGCGAAAGAAGAGATATGTGCCGATCGTTTCGAGCTGAGCTTGCAAACACTCCAAGTGCGACTCGGTGCCTTCCGGGGAATAGGCTGCGATGGTTGGAAATGCTGTTGTCGGCTCTTCAGCTTGGGTTTTACACCGTAAGTATCAGGAGCCTCTGGGCTCTCTTCTATTAGTGTTAGTGATTGATGTTCTTGGATTATTCATGTCGCTAGCATCGCAGTGACAATGTGGCGCTAACGTGAACGGTCACACAGACGTGTGCTTGTGTGCCTCAGCCCCTCTTCTCCCCCCCACACACGGGCTGGCAGTGTCAGGCGGCATATATGATGCTGGTTCTCGGTTCACCGAACCGCCCGCCCCTCCATGGTATGCCCTTCCCCCCCCCGCCCGCCGGCACGCCCAGGTCCAAACATGCCGAACCCCTATGACTGTGCGCTCTTCTCCCACATGGCGGCTCCAAGACCATCAAGTGTCACGACGATCTCGTGCCAAACACGCCGGATCCTTGTGACAGTGGACGCTTTTCACCCTGGACTCTGCCATGAGGGTATTAAAAATCAACTGTCACCATGTCAGGCCCGCTTCCTGTGGCTGTTGACCCAAGAAAGGAACATGATGATGATGACGACGATGATGATGATGATGAGGATGACGATGGGGATGACGATGAGGATGACGACGACGATGATGATACACCATTATGGGGGGGGAAGGGGGTACCAACCATAGGGGGAGGGAGGGGGGCGGGGGCCGGCTGAACCGGCATCATATATGAAAACATACGTTACGCAGTTCTGGCGTTGCTTCCCGCATTCACCGCGCTTTTGTAGTGCACCGCAGGTTGCCAGTCTGCATGTGTGTGGCCAAAGCATGTTCATTGTGTTGACGCAACGCCCCAAAGATAGATGGGTTTGTCTACATCGACGGGCCACTTCAAGCCCAAAACTGGCCTACAACTTCAAGAATTGTGCAGCTTTCGTTGTCTTGCCGAAGAGATCCGTGCCCTGCGGCTCCGATCGCCAAGAGAAAATCAAAAGCAGTTCGCTTGCAGACACTCGACGTCCTTGTCGGTTTGACAGGGTCAAGTCCCCAGGCTCTGGAAAAAAACTTGAATTTACGTTTAGTACCAGAAGGACCTTAGTGTACTTAGGACTTGTATGTCCAAGCAGATAGTCACAGGAGCTTGTTTGTGGCTTGGGAGTTGGTGGGGCTCACGGCTCACCTCGAGTTTTGGCTTGCTTTCGTCTAGACTTCCTTAGCCGCAGGTCGGTGAGGTTCGGGGTTCAGGGCCTCAGGTTTGGTATTTTGCAGGTTCTGGTTTTAAGGCCTGGTATTGTGGCTTCAGGCTCCAGGATTCTTGATCATCGCAGCCCCTCTCATTCGATTTCACCACGCCCCAACCGATTCGTGCCGGCGGTTCGACCCAGGCGATCTTATTCTTGATTCCAGTGATCCGCAACCCGAACTGACTCGTAGCACAGAGCTGGACCTGCACAGTGAGAGTGACTGACACGCGAGAGAAGCATTCAGATGCAATGTCTCCTTCATTTGGAATATGCCGGCCAGGCACTTGTCCTATGAACGATGGGGCAGGCGATGCACCAAGCAAGCTTTCGCATGTATGTTCGACCTTGGCTGGATACCAGCTAGGCCCTTCAGCATGGATCCAACAGCCTGAACCTCCACCTACTCTTAACAGAATCTCATAAGTCGTAACATCTCGTCACGAGCTGCATCTCATGATATCGCATGTTCCGCTAGCCGAGTGTGAGGAACTGCTGCAAGGGGCAGTGCAAAGAGTGCCTGGAGCCACCTGATGATCTGCAGGCGGGGGACGCCGTTCTGTCTTGTTGCACTGGCATTATCCGTGGGCCAACTTCGAGCAGGAAATCCTTCGAAGTGCGCTGCGACTCTGGCGCGACCTGCGATGATGATGTTCGGTGATGTTCAGCTGCAAACCCCAGCAGAGACGTGTACAGTTTGGCTGATCCGATGTGTTTCGGGCTCAGAGCCAGAGCTCTGCAGACATGTAGGCTTCGTAGGAGCGCAGCATGCAATTTTAAGCGAGCCGCCCTCGCTCCGAAGAAAGCACGTGCACAGGCTGTCCTTTGGTGCAGCAGAGTGTTCGTCGAACATGTTGGCTCCAGGGATGTGTAGCTCAGTGAAGCAAGCGGCATGACGGAGGTCATGCACAGCAAGGTAGTGTGAGTTTGTGTTGCTAACGCACTTTTAGGGTCGGCATGACTGCAAGTGTTGTTTCTTGTAGCCAGCGCGCATAGTTCCGTTCCGGCCCAAGTTCACGGGGCAGTCACCGTTCAGGGCCTGGGCAGCTTTTCGACTCGGGAGGGGTTGTGGACTCATGTGCTGGTGCTGCATCCAGGGCCGCAACATTCCTGCGTTTCCTGACTGCACAGTCGTAGGGTGCAGGGCTTCTAAACAAGCATTGGTGTCGAGCCCGAATTTAGCGCACACTGATCAGGAGTCGCAAACCCTGAACTCAAATCTTCAATCCCAAATCCTTCAGGGATCAAGGGTAGCGAGGATGAGAGAGCGGATATTGGAGAAGGGTTGTAAGGGTGACACAGACTCGCCAACCTCTGCGAGGTTTCTGGACGCTTAGTGTAACAACGGACAAAAGGCAACAAAAGAAGACAACCTAGAGGACTCTCCAGGATCACAAGCGACCGTGCACTTTTTTTGTATGCTCATTTTGGTCTTGTGTCCTGTTGGTTCAAATCTGTCTGCATATTCGGTGAGGAAGGTTTTGGATTCGGTACCTGCCACTCACTCGGTTTGCCACCACATCTTTTCGAGGTTTTGGGGTTAGAAAGCTTGGGTTTCAGGGTTTGTGTACAGCACATTGCCTACTTTAGGGTTGAGCACTGTATCTCACCTTATGCGTGCCACTTTATGTGTTCCGGGTTTCGGATCGATCTTTCCCGGGCTTGGGACTTGCTGTCCATCGCTCCTTTGGAGTCTGGAGCATGGGGTTTGTTTTATTGGTTTTGGGATTTTCCCACCCATCTTTATCATCCCAACACCAGAAGATCACGTCAGCAAGCCAGCCAGCAATCAAGCCAGCAAGAAACCACCACCGCCAGCGCCAGCGGGAGCACCAGCACCAGCACCAGCACCAGCACCAGCACCAGCACCAGCACCAGCACCAGCACCAGCACCAGCACTACTACTACTACTACTACTACTACTACTATTACTGGTACTACTACTACTACTACTACTACTACTCCTACTACTACTACTACTACTACCACTACCACTACCACTACTACTACTACTACTACTACTACTGGTATTATTACTACTGCTACTACTACTACTACGACGACGACTACTACTACTGCTACTACTACCACTACTACTACTACTACTACGACTACTAATTACTGGTTCTACTTCTGCTACTACTAAGGGGCAGGCGACGGACTACTACGGCCACTTTAGAAGGGCAAGCGGTGGAAGATTACGGCTACTACTACTAGTGCGTTGCCATTGCTATAGCCATGTTTGTGCGACTGCTAGCAGCACGACTAGGACTTTTGTTGATCGCAGTCGTGCTTCTAGTAGCTGTAGTGGTCGTAGTGATGACGGTGATGGTGGTAGTAGGTGTGGAGTCGGAGACGGTCATCGGCGTAGGAAAAGTAGCCTTTGCGGTGGAAGCAGGCGCTGTAGCTGTAGCAACACAAGCAGCGGCAGCAGCAGCTCTGCCAATGGTCACAATGCCGCCGGCCGCAGCGAGCCGAATATAGTCAAAACACGCAAGACACGACGTTGGCGGCCGATGATGTTGATGATGAAGCGTATAGTGATCATTAGTTGTTCTAGAGACATGAGGAAGAAAACACTATCATCTCGTCATAGTCAGAATAGCAACAATCCGGTTGATGATCGTGAGGGTTATGACGACGAGGGCGCGGATGTGGCTCTGGACGATGGTGGTGATGATGCAATGCATATGACTTTATGACGCTCGTGACGATGCGGCCACCTCGAGCATTGCAGTACTGTTTCAGCGATGAATCATGTTCGCTTGGTGGTGCTCATGATGCTACTGCTGACGACGATGACGATGCAGAAGTCTTGCTTATATTGACAATGGTGGTGAGTGTGGCCATGTGGACAGTCAGGTCACTGATGAAGGTTGTTATGTAAGCGGTTGGTGGTGATGGTTAGGAAGGTGGCCTAGATGATGCCTGTGACGATGATGGTACTGATGGTGATAATGATCAGGATGAAGATGTGGATGAAGCTTCACACCTTATGGCCGCCACCAGCGCCACCGCCGTCGCTCAGCACCAGCATCAGCACCTGGTAGCTGCACCAGCACCAGCACCAGCGCCAGCACCAGCACCAGCACCAGCACATCACCTCCATCATCATCGCCATCAACATCACCATCACCGCCATCACCGCCATCACCGCCATCACCGCCATCACCGCCATCACCACCATCACCACCATCACCGCCATCACCATGATCACCATGATCACACCACCATGACTACCATCGGTTCCACCACCCAGCGAACACCAAACTTCCCGCACGACCCTGAACATGTTCATCATCATCATCATCACCGGCACCATCACCGTCATCACCACCACGACTACCACCACGCCAACGAACACAATTCCCGTCACGACCCTCAACATGTCATCTTCACCCTCATCACCATCATCGTCATCATCATCAAACATCATCATCATCATCATCATCTTCATCTTCATCGTCATCATCACCACCATCATCATCATCATCGTTGTCGTCGTCATCATCACCACCAACATCTTCATCACCGTCGCCATCGCAACCATCATCATCATCATCATCAGTATTATCATCACCATCCTCATCATCACCGTCCCCATCATCGTCATCATCATCATCGTCATCGTCATCATCACCGTCACCATCATCATCATCATCAGTATTATCATCACCATCCTCATCATCACGGTCACCATCATCGTCATCATCATCATCATCAATGTCATTGTCATTGTCATCATCACCATCATCATCATCACCATAATCATCACCATCATTCTCTTCTTCCTCCACTTGGTGGTCTTCTTGGCCTTTGTCTTCAGGTCGTCGCAAGACTTGAAAGGGAGACGCGAAACAGCTGATTTCTGCGCTTTGCAGCGATCGCGCAACGTCCAGCGAATGCAACGTGCACGCGGAATCCGGGGTATTGGCACCATCGTGGAGGACATGCTGTCAAATAGTAAAGGAGGCCCACATGATCACGACCTCTGTGTATTCAGTGCAGATTCCGGCCCCGACATCAGCCTGTCATACGCATGGCTGCCGCAGCGACAGCACGGCGAGCACGGCTTTGGGTCTGAAGCCAGCAGCGTTCGCTGGAATTCGGCGACGCAGCATTCAAGTCTACTACTGCCAGGTTTTCGGGAACTGCACGGACAATCGTGGCAGTTACCTTTGACGGTTACCTTTGACGGCAGCCAAACAATGGTATAGAGTAGGCGCAAGTAATCAATCTGATTCTAGTTGGAAGATGCGAATGTAAGCAAGCGCAGTTTCAATCAACTGAGAACTTCGACGTCATTCGGCCATAGCCTTGGACAGGAATCTAAAGTCGCTGGCCGGCGTCTCTGCTGGGTCTGTCGTGGCTGCCATGCTGGCAGTCAACTGCAAACCACGCGAGATCTTCGAGGTGTTGCTCGGCTGAACTTCTTGCACTCCCTTTTCGACCGTGCCCTGAACCTCAAGCACCAACGGAAGCAGGGCCTCACTTTTCAACACCTTCGCAAAGTGCTACAAAAGAGCTTTCACGGCTTTCGGTTCTTGGGATGTGCCTGACCAATCTCACGACTTTCGCAATCACACCCGCTTGAGCCTCCCGAGCCGAGCAGCTCCCAGGATCGAGGGCATGGAGTTTCACCAGCTTGCATTCCCAGAGCTGGGCTCCTTGTCCCGCATCCTCGGGACTCTGGTGCTGCTCGGAAGCAACCAGGATGAGCCCGAGGCTTCAAAACCCGAAACCCCTAGATCTTGAATCTTAACGAAAATTGGACAGCAACCCAGTGAACCTAAACACTGGATGCTATCGGTCACCCCCATTTCACAAGATCAAATCTGATTATGGTGAGGCTGATGATTACTTCCACGTTCTTGTTTGTCGTCATGGTGCATATCGTAAAAAGGTTCCTGGCGTAGTTGCATGTTGTTGCTTATCATGACTGTGCTAATGCCTGTGGCCGTTAGCTCGCTGTTCCAGTTTTTGTTGCTGTTTGATCTAGTGTCTATATCTAGTGTCTATATCTAGTGTCGCTAGTGTCGTGCAGAGTCCAGATGATCGTGCTGCCCGAGGCAAGGGTTGCTGAGGGTTACCATCGGCAATCATGCGGCCGAGGTGGTGGAGTGCCTTGTTGCAGGTGGGACATAGAGACAGATTTCAGAAACGGGCCCCTTAAATGAGCCGCTTTGCAGCGACACTCCCACTGAAATCCTGCGAGCGGAAGCACAAAACCCGGCAGATGCCACTGGGCCTGGCTTCAACAGCGGCCTTCGCCTGGAGGAGCGGTTGAGACGAGACAGTGGGATACTTCACAAAAGCACTTCATAGTCTTACTGCATGGTGGGATGCTGTCGGCTTGTGAAGTACAAGCAACATCGCCCCGGGCTCCTGCGGGCAGACGGCAGATACACTGGCAACAGCAACAGCAACAGTGCGACTTGTTGGATTTGTTTGGCATATCCGCGTCAGCAGTTTTTCGCTGAAAGCTTGGCAGCAGCAATTGCGGCAACAACGACAACCCAACCCTGTGGAGGAGATGATTGGCAAGGAGCTTCAAAAGAAATGCCTCTTGGTCTAATGCCGTAATGATGGGGCATGCCAGTTGCAGTTAGCATAGTACATGCTGGGAAACCACAGGTGGTAACAGAGACATCACGCTTGCGGGCGTGAAGCAAAGATTTGGCTGCTCGGCAAGCTTTTCAATATTTCAATATTATGTCTTTGGCCTAGACCTCGCCAGCTTTGCAGGTCCAAGTGGTGTGCATGGTTCAGGGTTTAGAGTGTGAGTCACAGTGCGCTGAGGCAAGAGGCTGATCATCTTGGCTTGTGAACTGGACTCTGGTCACGAGAGAAGGTTTACGCCAGAAACTGATCCCGATCTGCCGGTTCGGGTTGCTGTGCGCATGTCCATGGGGGTGCCGGGGCTGATGGAGCCCTTCAGATACAAAGGCAGCGGGAGCGTTGCGAAAATAGGTCCCGAAGTGAAGCTATAAGGTAGGGTTTTAGAAACACAACTCGTTTGACTCCGCTTTACCACGAATATCCGGCAGCCCCAAATCCTCAGGCCATTTCTAGCAGACGAAAGCTTCGACCATCGCCACAGAAACGATGACGTCTTGGATGTCGAGCTTCGGGTTTAAGCTTGTGTTGCTTACAGCCAACTTTGTCCTCGCAGTACGATTCCTAAAGCTGGGTATCCAAGCCCAAAGCCTTGCGAGGCCACGTCTACTGCGATGGTGGCATGTGCAACGACTTTCCGGTGGATGCTCTGCCGGAAGACTCCAAGCGCATGGGGTTGATGGTGCGACCGGTTGATTGGATCCGCCACCATGTCCCAGGAGCGAATGTATGAAACGCAATGCATGCTTGAAGTAGTGTGGGCCGATGCCTCATACTGCTTTCTATTCTAGTCAACTGTCAGAAGGAGCAACAGCTACGACAACGCTTCTAATGGTCTTGCGAGCTTTGGGGATGATGCCAAGCAAGCAAGCCTTTGCTAAAATGCACTGCGAGATTGTTAGGCCATTTCTTGCGTTTTGTGCGCAGGCCTAAGCTCGATCATCCCCGATGAGAAACTGGAGAAGTATGAAAAGGTCATGGCTCATCTCAAGATGAAGTCGGAAGAGAGCCCGACACTTTTTTCGGTGAAGACGGTCCTGGACCTCGCCTTGACCTCGGTCTCCGACTCAGAGGTAAAACCACAGTGGCCAGTGTAATGCTTCTGGCAATGAGCACGGTGATGGTGACGAAAAACTGAATAGGAACGATGATTATGAATTATGATATATTATGGTGATAACGCTGATGCTGCTGCTGAGGAGGCCGGGAATGACGAAGCTGATGATGAGGATGAGGATGATGAGGATGATGAGGACGATGAAGATGAAGATGATGGTGATTATGGTGATGATGATGATGATGACGACGAGGAGTTAGAGGAGTAACCAAGGGGAGCATTGACTCCTTTCAGGGACCCTGAGCGATTCAGGATCCCTCGAAAATCCAACAAACTCGCAGCGGCTTGATGCTTTATGGAATTTTCAGTTCAGTTTTCCGCTGGGGGAGCATGTGACCTTGGGTTCAGGCTTGCGGGGCCCTCCTCGGCTCAGCCTCGGATCTGGGTTTCAGTTCTGAGTTGTATTTCAGTCCAGCACTGCGTGCAGCACACCTAGCATGGCCGAAGAGCATGTCTAGGCCAGCTGAACGGGGCGTGTCCCTGCTCCTGAGTTTCATGGATTTTCAGATTCTGTGCGAATTCTGTGCCCGAGTTGCTTCGCTCGTTTCGTGAATTCCGTGCATGAGTTTCGCGGCAATCGGAGTCGGATGAGTACGATGAGGATGCAGGGAGTGTGAAGGAGATCGTGGTTATGCCATGGCGATCATGACCATATCCGAATTGAGAGCAGTGGGTGAGTATCACTCACAGTTTGTGCAGTGCCCAGGATGGACGTCATAAAGAATCATGGACGTTTCTCCTGTTTCTCTTCTTTCTGTAGCCTGTCCCAGCTTCAGGTGAACATCATGATGGATGCCAACCTCGTCCTTCAGATTGAGGCCTCTAAGGACTCTGAGGAACTCTTGGGTTTAGGGTTTAGGCATTGTAGCTGTGCTCCCATTTGTTTCCATCCTTGGCGACTTTCCGGAGGCTGCCACCGCCAAGAAAGGCTTCAGGCAAAGCTCTGGCATCTCTGGCCTCGCGCCCGAGATCCTCACGTGGCTCGGCTTCGTTTTCAGACTAGCTCAGGGCCTTAAAAGGTGCCTGTGATGGCGATAATGATGCTTGGAGCTGTGGGACGGCACAGCATGGTGGAGCTGTGGCGCAAACGGTGGTAGTGACTGTGCTGGTTCCCATGCCTTCGCGTGATCAGGCTGTGCGGAGGCAGATATGACCCCTTCGACTTCAATCTAACGAAAGACCAGCACCGGGCCTGCAAACAGACCGATTGCCTACTTGCTTCAGCATGACCCAAGCTGGGTAAGATCAGGCATCGGGAGCTGTACTTGGCCGGCCAGCTCAGTGCCCTCCTCAGAAGTTGGGGCGCTGACGGAGAGTCTTAGAGCGGCCACATGGGCTTGCGTGAGGTACCCACCTGCACGCATCTATCGTGGATGGAAGCTCTCAAGTACTCAACGACGAGGGAAAGCTGAAGACCATGTTGTACATGCTGCATATGGATTATCCGAAGCCGCCGTGACCAAAAGCGTCGCGGCCGTTGCAGTTAAAAATGTGCTGCAATTCGCGAACTGATAGCTCTGAGAGTCTCTCTCGTTCACTCCTCTTTCTCGTCCCTCTCTCCTCTTCTTGCTCTCCTGCACGGTCTCCCTCTCGAGGCACCGCAGCATCCGCGCCTTCGAGGCCACCCTGACCCGTGGCCGCTGGAAGCCGAGCTGGGGCCCAGCGCCCTGGGAGCGGCGGCCTCAGCCCTTGGAAGCCGAAGCCTCGGCAAGAGCTGGTTTCTTTTTATATGGAAATGCGGATGTAGAAGTGTAGAGAGAGAGAGAGAGAGGTAGAGATACAGAGCCCCTATGCAACTCTGCTATAGTAATGAGATAAACACTTGTAAACATAAACAAACATTAGATAATTAGATAATTAGTTCATTAAATGATCAAATGCATGAAAAAAATAAATCTATATATGTATATGCTTCCCCCCAAAGATCTATGCTTTATTTTCTTGTGCACCGTTTATTGTTTCGATTGCTTTTCTTTACACAAAGATGCGAATCTGCTGAGTATTGCCTTCCTCCATCTTAACAGAAAGAAACAAACCTGAGGACATTATACTGGTGCTTAATGGTGCCTATGTGTCCGCTACCCAGACCAGAAAAAATACATGACACCGCAGTACTGGCGCGAAGTAGTGCCCTGTCCCCGCTGCGAATACAAGAAGAACTATCTGAAACCGGAGTACTGGAGTACTCGTGCTAAGTATTGCATCGGCGCGTGTTACCAACACAAGAAGACCTATCTGAAACCGGGTACTCGTGCTCTTCTAAGTGCTGCTGTCCTTCCCCGACTAACACAAGAAGACCCATGGGCCTGAATCCCGAGTAAACAGTACCAACTCCCCTCCCTTGACTGGCACAATAACAACTACTCGGAACCGGAATCCTAGTGCCAAGTATTGCCGCACTTACACAAAAAAAACCTAGTTGAAACCTGAATACTATCACCAAGTATTGCCTAAACCGCGCCTGCTAACACAAAAAAACGCAAAACCCACTGACACCCGGAATTATGGTGCTGAGGCAAGAAAAGTTGGAGCTCGAGACTCTAGCAATCTATTTTTAGGACGTGCTCGGACTCTAGCAGTCTATTGCTAGGACGTGCTCATACTGCCAAAATCGAAGGACAATTGCTGTATACTTGTGCCGTAATTGCAAGCGATGTAGTTCTTACGTGATGACACGTTTCCGGCTTCAGAGAGTGGTGTTGTCACTGTACGTTTGGGGTCGAAGGACTTTGAGGCTGTACTAGTCGGGTGATGCAAGATCTAGCTTTGGCTGTACTCATACAAGACTACTGAGTATGGCCTCTGACCTCTTGTCTCACAGGACAACACTACACACTTAAAAGCAGGATGGTAGTGTTGAGCGTTCGGTATGATCCCTTTATTTGCAACAAGAACCACCCGACAGAAAGAAAAATACAACGTGGTCGGACGACTCGCTACACACCCACGATCTTTCATGAAAAAGGTCTAGTTAGTAAGTGTTGCCACCCCACCGGCTTGTCCATTCTTATCAAACGCTTCCGCATGGAAAAACCAAATCCAAGAATTATCCCTACTCGTTCCACTCATAGTACAAGAACTCAATCAGAACAAGCTTCTGCTGGTAAGTTTCTTCCGAGCGCGCTGTATTCCGCTTATGATGTAAACCCAACGAGGTGCCCAGGCAGTTGCGTTTCTGTGAATACGTCTACATGCCTATGATACGAGTTGATGGCCACTAATAAAAATTTATACCTTCTCACAATTACTATGACTGCTATCTTCAACCTAGTGGCATACTGCATATTGTAATACTTAATCGAGGCCTGAAAAAAACTAGTACTACTTTTGCCATGACCAAATCTACAATCGGAATGTTGAATTCCCAGCATGAATTCACACATGAATGAAACGCCTAGTAGTTCGCCAAATTCAATACACAACTATAGGACTGGTCCGGAGGATCCGTACAGTTCCCACATGTGCTTGATGCTGTTGATGCTGTTGTTGTCGTTTTTGTCGTTGTCGTGGTTGTCGTTGTTGTCGTTGTCGTTGTTGTCGTTGTCGTTGGTATCTTCTTTGTTGTTGTTGTTGTTGTGGTGGTGGTCGTTGTCGTGGTCGTTGTCGTTGTCGTCGTTGTTGTTGTCGTCACAAAGTACTCATTGCCATAATCAGCATGCAAGTCCTAGTAGTCTACGCCGTTTTCTGTTTTGGTTCCATTTGCCTCTTGACTTCAATCCCAAACATTTTTCTAAACAGACCACAACTCTTGCTCTCTTGGCCGTTGTATAAAAATTGTTTCAAAGGGCTTGTTCCGTTGGCGACGTGCGTGCCTGTTGTTTGTCACTCGGTGACTGGTCTCCGCCAAGTCCATCAGGTCTGTGATGGGGCTTGTGCATACTCTCAGAGCTCTGGCGCTTTTGTGCTAAAGCCTTTTTTTTGCTTTTGCATAGAAAAAGTACCGACATTTCCTAAACACATATGCCGCCTGACAAGCACCCGGCTGCATTGCAAAACATAATGTGCCAAGGCCCCAGGAACCAAGAACCGAGAACCAAGATGGTCAGGAGTCAGGACTCTTGAATCTTGTTTCTTGGTTCCGCAGGCCTGTCTGCAGTGTAAACTGTATTGCAGTTTCATGGTTCCAGGGGTCTGGCTGCATTGAAGTTCAATTTTTGAATGCAGTTCTCAATGCAGTCAGCTTGACTTTGGTCGCGTTTCATATGGGTTCACGTGCATTAGTATGGAAGTTGCAGAGTCAGTACCCTAAGCCCTAAACCCTAAACCTAAACCCTTGCAGTGGGTTCATTGGACTGTGACTCTTGCACGGTCTTGGAGCTGCTCGGATTCATTCGGTTGTGACTTTTGCTGCCTGGTGGCGGAAATACCACCCAACAGTAGATCTTTGGGGAGTGCCATATATATATATATATTTATTTATTTATTAATATATATATATACACGCACGTATAAGTACGTATTTCTCTATGTATACACATGCATACATACATGCATGCATGCATGCATGCATACACACATAAAAAAACATGCATTTTTCCATCCATCCATCCATCCATCCA